TTTTACGACTATCATTATTATTATTATTATTATTACTTAATTTTCCTATATTTGATTATCTACTTGTTGGCCTGTCCTTTCGCGGGAGGCCAACGGTTCGAATTTCGAACCATGTATCCATGGCCTAAGTAGGCCGACCCCACGTATACAGTTTGTGGGTGAGCTTCGATCCGGCATTGCGCGGTAGGACCTCAAAAGGAGGGCGACCCGCGGCCGCATTGGTAGGAAGCTTATCACCCTTGAATGGGGTCATAAGCCCCCTCCTTGCCATCGAAAGCGGGTACCCGATAGTGGTAGGCCGGAGGTCAGTTTTAAAAGGGAAAGCACTGTCGTTGGTATCCCATTATGGGATCTCTATCTTTTTTCCTCCTTTTATTCGGACCTCTGTCATATTGCACAGTCTAGGGACCGGCGTGACGCTGGTTCGGGTGCCCTGACTGTGCACGGGTGGTTGAAGTTTCCTGCCGGTTTTTGTTCAAGATTTATTTAAATTTTGTGTTACTTTATTAAATCCTAAAATTCGAGTCACTATCAGCAAAGTCTTCTTTTAGTACACGGGGTAGCTCTCACCCGGAGCTCTATAAAACGGGTTGTCTCTCCTCCGAGGCACGACCTCCACACCCGCTAGCCCCTGTCTCCAAGACTCCTGCAGCGGGCCCCTCAACAAATGCCCCCGGCTTCTGAAGACGTTCACCTTCTTCCAAGAAGTGCAGGAGCAAGGTGTCACCCTCAACACGACGACACGAAGTTCTCGAAGACAAGTGYGAATCTACTCGCACTTGACAAGACCGCGGGGCGGCGTCGCCTCGCGTTTCGGAAGCTGGACTCCCTTCGCAGCGGCTTCCAGCGCCGCCCGACCCCTTTTCGTCGGAACCCTCTTTGCCGGACCCTTTTCCGCCGGAGCCGTCCGGCTTCCCCGCATTTGGTCGTTTCTCTCCAGAAGCCTCACCGACCGACCCGAAAGGCCGCARCACACCTTGCGTTTCCTATGAAAGCCCCTCTTCCACGGAAACCGTTGTGATCTTCCTCTCAAAATCGGTGGACGCACCCTCCGAAGCATGAAAYTGACGCTCTCCATCGTCGGTCTCYACCACTCCTGCACCGAGCCCCTCTTGCACTTTGCCAGGCGGCCTGTGTTGAGTCTCCTCTTCCCGATGCACARCATGCGCCTCCTGTGGGAGCCCCTCTTCCCCCGGATCTGCTGTACTTTTGCCCCTAAGATCGGAGGACACACCCTCCGAAGCATTCCAAGCATACTCGCTATCCCCGGTCTCCAAGGCTCCTGCAGCGGGGCCTTCCAACACTTTGGAAGACGGCCAGTCTCGAGTCTAGGCATGAGAGAACGACGGCGAGCAGGGAAGCACTGTGTCCAACTGAAGAGTCGGGGACCCAAACCTCCCCATGTCTTTGCCCCGCAGTACTGTAGCGTAAGGCGCACAGGTGGCRGACCTCACGGACTGCGAATGAATTCCGACTTCGCTGCGCTCCTCGTCTTCRGGAAACAAAGTCCTCGCAGACAAGTGCGAATGTACTCGCACTTGATAAAACAGGGCGGTCTCGTCTCGCATCTCGGAGTCCCGACCCCCATCGAAGTGGTTGTCGGTTTGTCTAGACTTGCGTGTAGTGTACGCTCTAAGCTTTCTGCGTGGCCCTTTCCCGCCCGAACTGTTTTCGCCCGAACCGTTTCCGCCCGACCCCATTTMGCCCGACCGTTTTCCGCCGGACCGTTTTCCACCGAATCCCTTTGGTTCCGACTTCGTTTCAACTCTGGGTGCCGAGCCGTCTCCTTTGTCACCGCCACCACCGGGTTCTGGGTCGTCTCCTCCGTCACCTCGTCCACCGCCTCCCGGAGGCTGCGGCATGCGCCAATCAATGTTGCGAGAGGGTGCCGTGTCGATTGCATAGAAAGGCGCTCTAAACTCCAACATTTTGTTCATGTACAGGTTGTCGAGTTTTTCGGCTGCGTACGATGCGACGTCCTCAGGGCTTCTTTCCGGATTCATTACTCTCAATTGCTCCACCAGAGCTTCTCTGGCCTTTCTCTTAAACGCGCCCGCGCCCAGTTGGCTGAGACCGCTCCRCGTGTCGTCGGGTTCCTTCGTTGCCATGACCCACTTTCCAGTCCTGACAGCAGGTTGAAATATCCTTGGGTGCCAAACGACGTTGTGGCCCCAGACATCCTCCGCTGTGAACCGGTGGTGTTTCCCGTAGAAGAAAAGCCTGTCGTTCTCCCAGGTGTCATGGTCCCTCGGGAGCTTGTCACAGTACTCGTAATCGTAGCCTTTGTCTTCTTCCCCGTCGTCGACTGGCTCGCGTTCAAACATAYGCGTCAAACCTCGAGGGGACGCGGTGTATCTCAGACGACCGCCTTCGCCTTCATCTTCACCCCGTGCCACCACTCGAGGAAGCGRCATGGACTCGAAACCGAAGGTTTCKGAGTCGCTCATCTCCTCCATGTCTTCAGTGTCGAAAGGGTCCTCCTCGTCAAACTGCGCCTTGTAGTTCTCGAGGGTCAGTGGTTCACCCATCACGAAGAAAACGTGCTCTAGCCTTTTCAGAAAATTTGACACAGACTCCCTGGGTGCACCGTGGTAACCATTCAGCACACCGAACACAAGGTTCCTCCGTCGATTGTATTCAAGGTCTGTCTGGGCAGGCGRTCCGAGTTCGAAAAGGAACTCCCAAACCTCCGTCGTTTTGTTATCCGGCAATTTCCAGTACATATCACRTTTGGGATCCCAGTTCCTCTCTCCGGTGTTCTGGACGAAAGAGCAATGGCAACGAGGGTCCCGCGCGAGTGTCTTGACGAACTCGTGAAGGTAATCGATCATCTTCGCATCGTCCTCCACCTCAACGACGTTCCGACCACTGCGCAGCAGCTCCCACACGATAGATGCATGCGCTTTCCCAAAGAAAAAAACAGTTTGGCCGGCTCTGAAAAGTTTTCGAGCAGGCCGATGAGATGAGCCGGGTTGCGTTCCCTGTCCCTGTAAGCAGCTCCCCGAACACTTGTCACGCCGCCGTCCTCCCACTGACTACGAGGGAACTTGTCTTCGTCTGCGACGTCGAAACAAGCCACAGCCTACCCTGACGGGTCGAGAGAACAGGACTTGGAGCGTGCCACTGCTGCGGATTTGGACGGAGTTGGACCTTGACCACGTGGAGGCTTCGATGGACTACTGGCCGGGAAGACTGCCACAGTGTTGTCTGCCAGGTTCTCGYCATTGAAAACCACGTACAGACGATCGTGCTCCTCGAGCAGCATATTTCTTTCCCGGACAGTGGCCTTTCTCTGCGAGTGGTGCACCCACTTCCCTGTCCTGACGTGATGAATTCTCAACTTCGCCAGACCTTTCAAGAAACTGAGTTCCCAACGAGAGGGGAAGAGCACCACAAGTGCCCAGTGCCTTGGCGACAGGGTTTGCAGAACGCCTTGCAAGGAGGACAAAGCGTCTTCTTGCCAATCAGAAAGGAGTGTCGGATCACACAAATCGAGGACGTACAAGTTGCAAACGTAATGTCGCACAATCTCGCGGATCTCGATCCGACGAGTGTGAGCTTGGGAAGGAGGACAACCGAAAGGGATAAGGCTGGTCACCCGGTTGAGCTTGTGCCATTTGATGTGCCTCACATCCCCTCTAACCCGGATCGTGTCTTGCACCTCTTCCTCCGTTCGTCGCAAGAACAGACTTCTCGAAAGATTTGGGGAACCTGTCATCGTCGTACATTTTCTTCGTCTCTTCCAGGGACTCCTTCTCGTACGGAAGACACCGTTTGCACGTGTTCACGTTCTCCATCGCGCCCAGGAAATGCTTCCTCAGCTCGACCCACACCTGTCTCGTGAGCCCCCGTGGCGCAAACTCCGCCAGAAGCTCCCCCTGGTTCCGAAAAAACGGGGTTCCATTGCGCCAGACCTCCGCGTCCTCCTCTAATTCGAGGAACAATATGCAACGAAACATGCGGAGCATCACTCGATCAACTTTCCTCGTCGCTACCATGTCCTTAATGCCAGGCTTATGCTGTCGTCTCAGATGCTCGCCCGCCGATTGGACGAAAACTCCTTTGAGCGCGAGAATGTCCTCAAGGATCGAAAGTTTCTCCTCATCGGTCATGTCAGCGAGACACAGCCAACAGAACATATCTGGCTCTTTCACGACGACGAAGAACTTGTCGTCCAATTGCGTTTTCTTTTTGGTCGGAGGCGGCGGGACCCGGACCAGCCATCCCATCTTCGTCTCACCAGCAGCCCCTTTCGTACCCATCTCCGGAATCGCTTGAAGACCCGGAGATTTGTCAGGCATCGACAACGGCGTCTTCCCGTCGCCGCCCAACAACTTTGCTTCAGCCCATTTGCCGTAGAACTCCATACCTTTGCGAAAAACCTCATCAGAGGCAGTCACGAGCGGCATCCATTGCCTCAGCGYGTTCCCAATAGCCGCAACCTTGTCCTTCTCGGCGTTGTCGGAACTTGTGCCATTTTCCAATGGGCGTCGTTTGGACTCTTCCCCAAAAGCAGCTTTTGGAAGTTGAAAAACGCTTGTTTTTCGGCCTCCTTACCGGAAGGGTTCCCTTGAATAGCCAGCGGTCTGCCTTTCTTCTCCCAGGCCTCCCGCATGTCCTCGAAAGCGGCCTTTTGTGATCGCTGCTTAAACATTTTGTGTCTCGTGTTCTCCTCCAGACTGACCTTCAAATACCCCCCAAAGTCATCGTCGGACAACCACACRACTCTCGCTGGCCACGAGTGCATCTTCCACAATTCGAATATGGGGTCACCCTCCAATTCTTTCACAGGAGCCACGGTGTGTTGTCCGTTGACAAGGTAATAGTAGTACTTGTCCTTGTCCTGAGGCATGAAGTCATCCTTGTAAACCCTCCGAGCTGTGTCCGGGCGCTGCGTCACTGGCTTGTAAATGGGTGTCAGAACCAAAGGGTTTTTCGTCCATATTTTTCCCTTCTCCTTGCGGAACTGCCTCAGCATCGCGTTTTTGATGTCATCGACATTATCGCGAGTGAGACTGCGGTGATTATAATCTCCCTCCCACGTCGGGATGTCGCAGACCCTCCTGGGGTCGATGACTAGTTGAATCGGGTTCTCCTTCTCAACGACATCACCGTCGTCGTTCCGCTCGTATTTGAGCCAGAATGTTGYCGCTTCGTCGTACACCTTGGCAACCACCCTCTCGCCACCACTCGCCCCTCACCACTCTTCCTCCTCCGACTTTTCTTCTGCCGATCGCCCTCTTTAGGTGCCACTTTTCCGCTTTGATTTCTCGGAGGGTTCCCCCACGACGGGAACGCCTCCACGAGCCGAATCTCTTTCATCCTCAACTTGCCGCTCGCCGATCGTCAATCCGTCGACCGTTTTCGTTTTTTTGTGCGTAGTCGCAGTTTCTTGTTTCGACTGCCTCTTCCTGACATCTTCTTGTCCTCCACGCATCCATRGCGTCTTTTTTCCGCTGCCATGTCCCACGACGCCACCTTCATCCCCGCCAGTCGAGGACTCCGATGATCCTTTCAACCTCTTCATATGTCTGGTTTGTTCCRCCACCTCTTCTCGCACCCTCTGCTGTCGCTCGCGATTCTGCTCCGAAGTAGACGACTCCCCGCCAGAGCTGTCRCGCACAGCGGCCATCCCTCCAACCCCAATCCCTCCAAGCTCCTGCTCTGAGCTGCCGGATTGTCCGCGAAGCGAAAAAGTGTCACCCTGGCAGACAAACGTGAGGATTTTCGGTGTCGCGACCCGCTGAGTCCCTGCATGTGGAGAAGTCAAGCCAGACGTGCTCCCATGAGCAGTCGGGCCGACCGGCGTCTGGCTCTCACCCGCTGGACCCATGGCTTGACCCTCAGTGCCGAGAATGGCACTCCCGTGCCCCACTTTCGTCACATGGGTTTCTCGAGCTGAGCTGGAAGGCCCCTCGTGGGCTGTCAGAAGCCGGAAAACGTAATCTCGAGGAAGAATAGGACGCTTTTTTGGCACCTTCAGCGATAGATCGAGATAATCCAGTGGAGGCAGAAGAGGCCTATTTTTCGCATCGTAAAGCCCTTTGAAGTGACGGCACAACAGCATGTTGGAGCCGTACCCGGCGAAAGTCTTGACCGACACTATCACACCCTTAACACCTCTGAAAGGCAGTTTGCAGTGGTCGTATAATATGTTAGTCTGCAGCTTCAGCAAGCCTCCAGACTGTTTGCGGCACCCGGTCACGGTACCGAGAGGATAAACATCGGTTGCTCCCGTAGGGCCCCATATGAAAACAGCTGGCCCGACAAGCTCCCGGTCGACAACGAAGTCCAGAAACCATGGTGCTTCCCTCGTATGAAAATACGGARGAGTAGATTGCGGCAAATATTCTCCCTCCCCRGGGCCAGCGCTTGCCGATGTGTTTTTCTCAGACGCCATTTCACTCCCAATGCGAAACCAAGACACGCACCCCTGGAGAAAGTCGGATGATCGCAAGAAAGAGACGATGTTCTTCCAAGAGTTGTGGGAACAATAACAACACCAGCGTGGTGGAGCGAGTTGGGAGGAAAAAACTCAGCAATCCTGGAGCGTGGCGGAGCGAGTAGGGAGGAAAACGCGGCTTGTCTATGCTGAAGTCCGAACTAACTCGCAGTTCTGGAAACGAAAAGCTCCACAACATGCAAGGTGTCCGACAAATKCGAAMCAACTCGCAATAATGGAGAAAAGACAGCAATTCGAGCTCGCAGTTCCRGGAACAAGGAACTGGCGACGCCTGGCGTTCGACGAAGACACAGCTTGTCACGAAGAAAGTGCAAACTAACTCGGAGTTGTSGAAAACACGCACGGCGCGCGTGGCGACAAGTGCGAACTAACTCGGAGTTGTGGTTACGAAGGGCAACGACGACTTGCTTTCAGGGAACAGGTGTTTGGGGACAAGTACACTGATGTGGAGTTCTGCAGACGAGGACCTGAAACATATCCCAGTACGTGTCGCAAAAGTGCGAATTGACTCG